CTTCGCGGCGGCGTCAGCAGTCATTGTCCCATGCCACGGAGAACATGACTAAAACTTATCAGACATTTTAATGCCATGATTGTATAACTTTAATTTTATTCATTTTTATCGCGCCGCAAACGTTTGCACATGACAGTACAAGGCTGCTACTGCTAGCTACCACATATAAACTACAAATATTTGGTTTTCATAAACGTCAACATAGCACATTCAAAAAGTACACGGCTGCATGTCGGCAGAATGAGACTTACCTCGAGGCACTCGTTGTACACGGTATTATCACAGAGGACTCGGGAAATGCATTTTCCAGTGACTCGGGCGTATTCGTCTTCCGTCGTCTGCTCCACATCACATATTTGATTAACGAGCTTAACTCGTTCTGTTAAATTCGCTTCTCGGAAGTGCTGGTCCAGCTCAGAGATCTTTATGAAGCCGCACTGCAGACAGTGCATTGTAAGGTCACTCAAACGCAGCGCGCGCTCTCTGCACGATCACGTAAACGAGCGGCAGCGCATTGGCGGGAAGGAAAAATGCCCGATATACATCCCCGATTTCTACTTTTCTACCAAAGATGACGCTGCCTGTCCAGAGTTGCAGCTCCACCATGCGTTGCTTTGGCTTCCCATAGCGTGCTCGTGTTTTCCTTGCGTAGCTTCGCTACGCCCATCGTGCGCCCATCACCGTTACGGTCGGAGTACATTGGGCGCTTGATGATGCGCCCGCGGGAGTTTTGCTATAGCTACACATATACCAAATTTGGTGTTACGTGATGACGATGGATGACAAAGGTATATGACTGGTGCAAACATGATGATCATGACACGCGTGTCATGTGAGGACATGACAATATACCACGCTCACGATGTGCTCACGACCGTTTCGCTAGCTCCACATATACCCAATTTGATATCCCGTGACATGAGTAGGCGATGAAGGTAAAGGACACGTCCAAACGTAATAATCAAGTTATGCGTTTCATGTAAAGCATGACTACATGCTATGCTTACAGCGTGCTCGCGGCCATTTCACTAGCTCCACGTATACCAAACGTGGTATTACGTGACGTGAATGGACAACAAATATAAATGATAGGTCCAAACATGCTAATAATTCTATGCGTATCATGTAAATATGACTATGTGTTACGCTCATAGACGTCTGACTCTGCAGACATGTAGCGGCGCCTGTCGACGAAGTTTTGAGTAGTGCAAAGCTCGACTTGCTTGCACAGTTTGCGGCTCCACCAAGTGCAACTGCAGCGTAAAAAACAGCAATTGAGCTAAATATTAGGTTTATTTGAGCACCGAACTCTTAGAAAGAGAGCTAAGAGTTTTCACTGCGCTAGTCTGGCGCGTCACCGTACTGCCGTGAAGTGCTTGCTTGTTCACTCACCAGAACGACGGTGAAAACAAGAGCAGACGTAACAGCTCCGCGGTCAACAAAAAAGACACCATCCGATGCTGCCGTTGCGTTGTCAATTGCTACGGACCTGAAAGACTTCGTTTTGCTGGTTTTCGCAGCTTTCGGGAAGCAGAAGGTCGAGAGCACTGGACATGGGCTGTTTTGTTGGGTAAGCGAATCACTCGCGTTGTCTAAAGCCGTTCGCGTGAGAAAATTTGGTAATGTAGCTTTCCTGTATTTTTTTTGAGTAGCTTTGAAATCAAGGGCAACCATAGTAACTTTGATTATGAAGCTTATAAGAGCCTCTGACCGCGGTGCGTACCGTGCATCAGTAGACAGGGGACGCGCACAATAAACATCGTGCACGCCACGACTGCTGATAACCTGAAACTCCACAGCACTACGCCTGAGGGCTTTCAAGACTCTAAGTTCAGGCTTTATCTATGAAATGCGAACATGCACGTCATATCGGTAAATTTTGAAGTGATCGTGACCACAGTAAGTTTTTTTCTTGCCGTTGGTCTCCGCCATTGCCTGAACTATCTCTCAGGCCTCGGTTTCGCCTTTCGTTGTACACCGAGAAAGTGGACAAGCATGCATTCCCGTTCGCAGTATATAGAAACTGACGACAACCGTCAACAGAACATTAGCATGCGTAATAAAACAGTTCAACGCACAGGAAGCGAGAGATTAATGGAGAATGCAACTGCAGTGGCGAAAATAGCCAGAGATATTTGTGCCAAATAAAGTAAACTTCATACTACTTATGGTATAATAGACTGCTCTTGTATGCACTTCGTCGCTTTAGCATTATGCATACGCCCAAGTTTAACGCATTTAGGCGTTACAGAACAAACGTCGGAGTGCTTGCCGGTAACTCGATATCATGAGATGCTCGCTTCCGCTTGAAGTGGCAGTTGCAGTACGCCGAAATAACTGAAGCATCTTTCACATTGTACCCACAGTTTGTTTTGATGAGCTTTATACTTTTCTGAAGGGAGGTTGAATTGCTTGCCATGAACTTGATTTTCAGGAAACCGTGCCTCAAGGCCAACGAAACAGGAAGGCCTGTGCAAGTCCGCTTGCGGACGGCTCGCTTTGCCCTACCCATTTATGGCCGGGGCGGCGCTAGGGGTGCTGATGGCGGCGTTTATCGCAGTGCCGCCTCAGCAGAGTCTGACGTCTATAGCACACTCGCGGTCCTTTTGCACTACCCATTTATGACCGGCACGTCGATGGGGCGCGCGGATGGAGGCGTTTTTCTCAGCACCGCCTAACTCTTACGTTACCACGCCTATTCAAATCGATCACCAGTGATTGACGCTTTTGGATGGTGATTTTGGCATAATAAATTTATTTCTCGCTCTTGTGCACCCAACACTTCGTAGTACTTTGTCCAGCCACTCAACTTTCAGAATCAATTTAAATGCACCCCTTTCGGCAGTGTGGTTACTTTTGACCAAACTTTGCGTGAACCAACGTGCGTGTGTTGTTGAAAAAGTGCACTAGGCTGGCACGCTTGACAGAAGTGCACGCTCTCGTAATTATATTACAGCAACATTGAAGTTCTGTAAAGAAAAGAACTTTTAAAAGCCATACATCGAGCTGAAGTTTCAGCTTCGCAATTTGAAAATGCTAAGCAGTAATATTTGCGAAAAATTTCTGCCAGCTCTTCAATAGAAAGCAGTTGCTAGGGTTCAGGGAAACTTCTTTCGACAAAAAAATATTTACAAAGGTCCGCCGAATGTTTAAAGTGTCGAGGTGGCCTCCTCTGCCAGTTTCCAGTAGCTTTGGTTTTGCCTTTATTGTTATATCAGACGCAAGGTCGCATCTAGCGTCACTAGTTACTCGTATGACGTCCTCGTCACGCGCGCATGATTGTGCACCAGAGCTGCAAAACACATGCTTTGCTCGAAACTGCCATGCAACGACACCTGAATTTAGGGAGGATAAGCTTAGAGTTTAAGGATGACAGCACCTCAGCTTCAAGTTTTATGGCGACAATGTTTTGCATCAGCCTCAAACATCTGCAGCCATTGATGGGTTTATTTTGTTTACACCTCCAAATTGTTTCCTGCGCCGAAAGCGCGTATAGTGTTTGATCTTTGTGCACAATGCTATAGCTGCTCTGATCATTCGCGTGGTCCACACTTTGCTGGGGCATGGTGTGCTGGCGCTGGCTGCAAAGCTTCTCGTAACGACAAAATGGCCCCCGTAACACATCTTGGCTCTGGCTACAGAGCAGTGCGAAACGTTTTAAAACTGTACATGATTCTCTCCGTTTTTAGTATGGAATGCGCGAAAATTCAAAGAAATATGTTTGGACGCACGTATTGGAACGCCAACTTATACAAAGTTAGAGGGCTCATGAAAAGATATGACGCTAGATGTAATAGTGAAGTTCATTGGACATCTCATTTATAGAGGGATTATTCACATCACGTGCATTAATCTCTATTGGAACACCTGGACACTTTTATCACAACACAACAAAAATTTACTAAGAAAAGTGGACGAGTAAACTTTTGTCTCACAAAAAAAAAACAAGTAATGCTTCACCGCAAGGCACGAATAACAAAGTAGCACCTCAGTTCTGATTTTCTTTGTCTGCGTGAAGAGAAACATTTTATACATTATTTTTTATACTCTATCGGAGTTATTTATCTACAAATTGTATATTCTGAATTTCTTTGTTCTGAATATTTTTCCACATATATGTTTTTTTATTGCACTGTTCATGGTTTGGTGACCAAAAAATTGACAATTTTTACATTTTCATTTCCTTTAAAATAGTTTTGTAGCTCTAAAAGACATATTTTTTTGGAAAGACATTTCGTTTTGCTAATTTTGGTATGCTACAATGTGTGCCGAAGTGCTTTTCAAAGTGGCAAAAATGATCTTCCCGAAACATATGGAAGCAACCTGTTTAGCGCTGTAACGAAAGAGCTAAGCAGAGTCTGACGTCTATAGCGCACTTGCGGCTATTTCGCTAGCTGAATGTATACCAAATTTGGCCTGACATGACGTGAATAGCTGACAAACGTATATGAAACGTTCAAACAGGATAATCACATGAATCATGTACGACACAATTTATTGCCGCCTCGTAACGTTGTGCTGATTTTAACTTGACATATCAAACTTCCTCCGTGCTTCGCATATCGTCCATTCTCACTGTACGCGGTATCTGCAAATTTTCTTCGTCTAACGTTGCTCAATGTTTCTGGGTGAAACCCAATAACTTAGTATAGAAGGGCCAAAACTTAAGCAATCGACGAAATGTTAAATTAGAACGCGGGTATCTCAAGAAAACACGTTAGTTAGTAACAGAGGCAAGCAAAGGTGGTCTTGAAAGAGTGACGGCGAGTACCACCTGTCTACCTGTGTTTACATTCTACTTTTTAGGCTTTCCCGTTCGCTCTCAGGTGCCACAAGATTACTCTTTCAACAAGCCACTGCTGCAAATTTCTAAGGAGTATACCGCATACAGAACTACTTTATTGTGACGTTAGAAACACCTTTAGCTTACAGGCGTGTCTACGATACGAGCACAACAGTGAATAAAGGTTACTAAATACACTCGCAGATGCATAAAGAAAATGGACCATCACTGCCCGTGGTTCAACAACTGCGTCGGCTTCAACACCTACAAGTTCTTCTTGCTCACTCTCTTCTATGCGGTGGCTTTGTGCATGTACAGTGTGGCGACGCAAGGAGCCCACTTGATTGCGTGGTTGTCAGATCCATCGCTGTTGAAGCCTTATGTCTTCCACGTGGGCTTCACCTTTCTTCTGGGCTCCACGTTGGCCATCGGGCTGGGCTTTTTCCTTGTGATGCATCTGTCCATGGTGTCGAGGAATGAAACGACGCTGGAGAGGTTGCGCAGTGAGGTCTTCCTGGAAGCCGGAGATTCATTCGACCTCGGCGACCGTTGCGAGAACTTCGTGCAGGTGTTCGGTCCACGACGGTCACTGTGGATGGTTCCCATCTTCACGAGCGTCGGCGACGGCGTCCGGTTCGCAACCAGGCTGCACCCCACGCGAGGCGCTGTCGAGTCGCTGCCATCAACCATCATGGCAACTTACTCTGCAGCCACGTACTCGTCGGGCTCATCAAGCCATAATGTCGGATCAACGAGCGTGAATATAGTGCAATAGCCAATTGAGATGTGCAGGCAAAACTGTTTCGAGTGCAGCATTACTGTATTTTATATGATATGGTCTTTAGTAAACTCCAATTTTATTGCCAAAAGTCGTCATCTGTTAATTAGGCCAAATGGCTCCTCCATATTGCATCTTTTTTACGAGTTATCGGCATGTCCCGATATAATTAACAAAAGCGCGAGAATCTTCCACTTCCTTGATGGTATTATTGATGTAAACAAACTGGCGCCTTATTCCAGATCGCTTACATACGCATGTTCAAGAAATACTTTCCGTGATTTTGTCACAGTGCGGATTTGTAATATTATATTATATGAAGTTAAGCGTATTAAAACCACAAAATTATTATGGGAGACGCCGTAGTTGAGTGCTCCAGAAGTTTTGACTAACTGTGGTTCATTAACGTGCTCGTAAATATATGCATATTGGCCTGAAACTTCGCTGCCTTCAATAATGCAGCCGCCGCAACTGGAATTCGATTCCGCCACCTTCGGCTTAACAGTAGAGTGCCATAACTAGGCCACCGCGGCTGGGCTGTGCGGCTTTGTAGGAGCGAGTGGACCCCACATCAACGATCGCAGCTAAGTCTTAAGGTCTGGGAACCGAGGCTTGGTACTGAGAAATAGGCAGCGTCATGGAGGCCATTAACTTGTTCGCCCCTGGCGAAGTTGGAGCTATGTGCACCTTCTTCTTGAAGCGCACGCCGAGAAAAAAGGCCACGCGGATTCTTTACCAACACGTGTGCACTAGCAACAGTATTGTGTACATCTGCAAAAGTGGGTCAGGTGGTTCATAGGCAAAATTACATTTTTAAATGCGAATCCATCTCTTAGTCGGGCTATGTCAGGCATCCGGCGTTGTCCGCGGCGGTTTCCACGTGCCGGCAGATGTTATATCTGCACTCTCGATCTCTCTCCCATAGCAACAGCTTCGGGTGCGTGCACTTAACTTCATTCCTAGCAACTGAAGCATTTGGTGTGAGAGAGTATAGGAGAGCGTGGGTGCACTGCTTTGCCGCTTTCACTCGCCGTTTGCTCTCTTTCCTCCCTGCTTTCCACTCTACCATCCACTCACGCTTCACTCTCGCACATTCACTGGCTGGGCGCCTCTCATAACTTTCATAAATGTATGCTCGAGACGCCGCTGTGAAACCCCAACGCTGAGTCGAGAACACTAGCGCCCCACTGTACCATACACTCGCACCTCACTCTCGACCGTTCGCTGGCTGGGTGCTTCTAAAGGCAATGGCAGAAGTCGGTAAAGGTGAACGACTGAAGGCGATTGTACCATTTCTTGGTGCGAGAAATGCACTCCCATTCCCTCATGATTCCTTTCCTGGAGGTGGAGGATTTTGCTGAATGCAGATTTTTCTGAATGCAAGGTAAGGAAATCGTGGGAACTACGTGCGGCGTACCCCAAGGTTCGGTTTTAGGACCTGTTGTCATTATATTGCATATAAATGAGATTTTACAGATTCAGAGCTACTCTATCATTATAATATATGCCGGTGCCACGAACGTGTTCTTCTCAGGAAGGCGATCCCCAACATTTTTCAACAAGCCAACACCTAGCTGCAAAGATTAGACATGTGGCTTAATGTAAACAAACTTCAAATAAACGTAAGTAAAAAAAATGCTTGCTCTTTAAATCAAAATAAACGAGTACGGCTTGTCATCCTCAGCTACAGTTTCAAAAAGTAAATATTCAGCAGTCCAGCTCGTTGAAATACTGAGGAGTTATATTTATTGTGAACATGTCCTGGTCACCACATATTGACTTTCTCAAGCGTAGTATTGCCCGTGCTGTTGGTGCATTAAACAATCTGCGATATTTAGAACCAAAAATAGTTAAGCACCATATCTACAGCACACTTTGCATTTCCGTTTAACGTACTGTCTTCTAGTTTGGTCAACTACAACACAGTATCTTCAAATGCTTCAAAATTGTGCGCTACGTGCAATATAAAACTTGGGACGTATGATATGCACCCAAATATATAATTCCAAAAATAAAATATCAAAGATACCCAAAGCCTGCAGTTATAAACTATATTTTGAAATTATGTGGCAATTTAGGTCTGAAAAACATTCCTTCCAGAGTAAGTACAGTGTGAAAACGACATGTAGGCTACAATTTCAGGAATAGTTTTGTGTCCGTACCACACAGTAGAACAAGTTACGGAGAACAAAAACTTACTGTTCAAATTCCTAATATTCTCAATGACAATACCTTTACTATAGATTTTCTCAAATGCGGAATTAGGAAGGGGGCCTAGCAACCAACAATAAAACAAATAATATCTTCATAGAAAAGCATATGAAAAATATCATGGTTCTGTATGAATTGTTATATACTGTTTCCATTTTCTTTCTTTTTATCTGCTCACATGTGGACTGATAGTCATGCAAGTGGTTCCTAGTTGTTTTTTGTTATTATAATGCGATTTGTTTCTGCTCGAGAGATGTGCGTGCATTTTTTGCCGCCACCGCCGCCGCCACCGTCGCCGCCACTGCCGCTGCCGCTGCTGCTGTATGGGTGGTATGGGTGGCACGGCCCAGTCAGGCAATTTTCACTTTTTGTCATGTCTACTTGGACAATTGTGTATACATATTGTTCTCACTAAACTAATATTGAAAGAAAAGAAGAAAAGAAACTAAAAACTTGGCGTATATCACATAACTTGTGAATACATATGCTAATCGTATCGCCACACATCCTTCTTGTGAAGTCGGGAAGCACGAGCTATCTGAAAGAAGAAGCCAGTGAAACGTCGCCCGATGGTAGCCATATAAGCATGGTGGCCGTGCAAGCACCCTGGTGTACTGACTAATTCCCTAGTAAAGTTGATGAGGAGCAGGCAGGGTTTCGTACATGGACGTCTGAAAAGCTCGACGGTATGTCTTTAATAAACACTTGCCACATCTGTGTCATGTTGCATTTGCCACCTCACGATTGTATGCTACAAGCTTACTGTGATTGCCAAGGCTCCTAGTAGTCTAAATACAGCGTCAGTCTGAACGCGGTTCTCTGTAATTTGCCATCGTTCGTGCTATGGTTAATTCACTAGGTAAAACAGTTCTGTCGGTCTCAAACGCTCCTGTTACTCGAAACTTTGTTACTGTATCAATTCATTTACAACAAAGGTGCTTATAGCAGACGTCTCTGAGGTTGATGGGAACTTTGTGAAGCTCGAAATATAGTAACACGAGAGAAATATAAGAGCTTTATCCCTGTGCCCAATAAAAAATCGCCCATTATACAAGCTTATAATATACACCTGATAATCATATACTCTCTTATTGGTCTTACTATCTTCACTAAAATATAATTTCTCGATTGAGAGCGTCATCGATGAACCAACAAATCATTGAGAAACGCGCGAAAGATTGTTGTCAATGAATGTCATGTTTTATTGTCACCGGCTCAGTAAAAGAGGACTTGTTCGCTCTTGTAGCCGATGTCTGCAAGTGCTGGCCGGCACACGTCATTGATGAGTGATGGCGGACCACAGCATAAAATTAGAGACTTCGAGTTTGGCGCGGGAAGGTGCGCAGCCATAATGTAGCGGTTCAGTGGTCCTCGAATAACACCTGGCATCATCTCCAGCGAAGGTACCTCGGACAACACATGGCATATTCTGTAACAGTACAGTGTAAAAAAAAAAACAGTCTGTCAGCAAATATTGTCAGTGCTTTGTATCGCGTCAAACCATTCTGTCACTGGAGGGTTTCTCTGACAAACCATTATCAAACAGCAAGCTTTCCTTCGCATTCTTCGCTGATTTTTATTATATGCACCTGGGCAGTCTTGAACGCCCACCTTGAGAAGACATGACCTTTGTTTCGTATTTGCTTCCCGACTAAAATGCAGTGCGTTGCGTGGTATGAACAGTATTAGCACGAGAGTTCACAAGTAACATGTTGAAACCTCATGCCCACAAGTTGCCTAAGAGAACTGCATAGTGTTGTAATGTGTAACGCGATCACATAGGCGTACCCAGCTGCTCGCCGAACGTATATTGTGTTGCTAAAGTGACACAACAGTTATTACACGAGAATACTGAAGCGTTCTTTTTTCAAACGAACTAAAGCTATATGGTAGAGTGTTTGCCACTGAAATTGGGTGAATTCCACTAATATAACCCACTGATCCAATAAAAATGAATTGAGCAAATGGCTTCAGTGTAGAGCAGAAAATGCTGAGTACGTGCAACGAGATAACACTAGGTAATAGGCGACAGCGAGACACTCCCACGCAATGGAAGCCATACGAGGAAGACGACGTGCCCGCAGATATATGAAAGGCGCAAACGCTTGGTTTCGGTGCTAGGTTCTATCCTTGCAGTTTGGACATCCAAACCACGCTTGACTATCTGTGGTTTACAAAAACCTCTATTATCTAAAATGCGGCCTACTAACAACCTAGCACCACCTAGCTAAAGCCTAGTGAAAACCTAGGACCAACAAGACTTTTGCAGGCATCCTTGAGAGATTAGCATAAGCTTTGTTGTTTAAGTGCGCAGCACTATAGGAGGCTGGCATGACACACGCTGTCGTACTCTATAGTACGCTGTCATCGTCACTAGGCGTAATGCTACATGTGCATGTAACGCATTGAGTGCGCCCTCGTGCAGAGAAGTATTTTCCCTGCTGTTCTTCGAGCACATTGATTACGAACACTTGTCATCTCAACAACATAAAGAAAACAAGTGCTTTTGGCGTAACGTTGGCAAAACTGCTTATAAAAATAGAAAAACAGAGGAAGTGAGCACAAAATAGACAAACGAGAGAAAAGATAACACAGATAAAACAAAAGGAGCAAGAAAGAAAAAATTGAGAGAGAGAGACGAAGAAATAGGGATAACGCGATGAAAAAAGAAACGAAAAGGGGAAAAGAATAGAAAAGAGGACGCACGAAAGAAGGTCTAAAAGTTACAAAGAAGGACGCCCAGCCCGCTGTTTGGTCAGGCTTGGCACTTGATTGTAGCACGAGGCTGCCTTAAATTTTTTTTTTTTGCACAGTTTAGTGTACAGAAAATGCAGCGGTAATCAGATGAGGGTGCTGAAAACTCTTTCTCTCTACCGAACGACAATTTACGAGGTACACATTTGAGAAAAATATAGGTACAGTTATTTGCTTTGGCTTTCAAGTGGTATGCGTGTTTCCTTTATTCGACGACGTGCACGGAAGTCCCTTGAAGCGAAACAAAAGAACACGCAAGTTACGCTTCTCGACACTTCTGAAGCAGATTTGAAGTAACATGAACAAAATTTTCTGGGTATTGACGAAATTTGTCATTATTGCGAACACGTGGCCACGAAAATCATAGGCGGAAATTTTGAAAGATATTTGCAACTTGTGGAGTCTCGAAATGAAGAGAGCGCCACGCTCTTGGAGTGAACGGACACAATAGACGCAGTCGCAATGAACCAAACAACACACATTTATTTAACTACTCTCAGAGCGATCATAACGTCAGCCGAGCTATAACACATCAGTTGTTAAAAAACTTTACACAATATTACACAGCACTCAGAAACAACAGAAGAACACACACAAGGTGGTTTCGCCAACGCCTGTCTTCCACGAGGGCCCCCGGCGCACAACCCACGGTGCCGCGTACCGGGATGCACCACTACAGACAACCGTTCGCGCCAAGCGCCAACAGCCAAAAAGAACCACTCATATCTCTGGTGTCGCGAGTGACGCCACCCAGTCCTACCACCAGGCGTCACTGCCGGCGGTACGCACTAACCATGATAATGATGATGGTCGTGGTAAAAAATGGTCGCGGGCACAACGCTGCCTACCGCTCGATAGTTGTGAACCCAGCACTCGGCTTCTGCGTGAGACAGGTGTGCCACGCGGCGCAAATAACTTTACAAGGGCTGTTAGCACCCCCCCCCCCCCCAAACTTCCACACAGCGAGGCTAAATACTGAGTGATTCACATTCTTCATGCATTTGTTACCCAAGTGATTCGCTTTCTGCCTTCGTTTAGTGGTCGATACTGCATGAACATTGAACACTGGATCTGAGTATTGCAAGTTACCCACATTTTCGATCTGTTCGAGGTGTGATTTAGATCGCAATGACATCACGGTCCAATGTGACAAGCCTACCTGAATGTTGACGAATATGTCCTGGCGTAGTCGTTGAGCTCACTGCAAGCGATGATTTCACTCGGGCTGTGGTTTACGTCGATCATGCGCACGAGTGTGCAGTCTGTGCTGTCCGCAAATATACTGCGCAGCAGCTGCAGCATCGGTGTCACGCCACTGCCAGCTGCAATTAGGCCTAGTTTTTGGACAGGCGGTAGTCGATCGCCTAGTGCGGTGACGAAGGTGCCGTGACCCTCGTAGACGAACATTCCTCGAGGACCCCGTATCTATGATGAGAGAACGGTGACGTCTGCGCTTATTCCACTTCATTGTTAAACCAAATAAATCGATAGAATAATATTTTGTACATAATGATTATGACAGAGTTCGAGTACGGTAAATTGATGTTAGAAGTAAAGGTTTTCAGCTAAACTCACTGTAGGCTTTTTCTATATACTACAAAGCTGTTTTTTTTCTTTAACTGTGGCCAGAATTTACCCGCTAAAAAATCTTAGACGAGCCTCCTGATGCGAGGCGACACCACACCTATCGGAACTTTCGACTGTCTGCCGTCGCTCAATGTGTCGATTGTTGTAATCAAACTGAACGAATTTCCAGCGTAAATTGCCGTATATGTTCCGGAACCATGGTGTATTTCCCCCGCGATCTTATTTCTATGTTAAGGACAGTACTCATCGCTAATATGCACTCAGACTGCTTGGTTGTACTAAGCCCATGTTGCTCATTTAGTTGGGCAACTTGCGGGAATGGTAAGATACATGTACAGCTTTGGTTTCCTCATTACTCAGTGCCTAAAGAAAAATGTGTACAATGACCTACTTTATTCGAGACGTTGTTACGGCGTACTAGTATGGGGTACGACAATAGCGTAAACATTATAAGAAACTTATAATGCTACAAAATTAAACTGCTCGCTGTTATGAAATTTACCAGGGTAGAGTAAACCGTTTCCGCACTTCAGTGCTCTTTCATTAACTAAAATGTTAAAGGAAAAGCAAATATCTTACTTTTAACTGCTTAATAAAGACGTGCACAAAAACAAGTGGTATGAACAGAAAATGCCAAACGTTATCTTGCTAAAAGAACTTGCAGCGTTTGCCAAGAACCATGTAGGACAAATTATAGAAAACAAGTGCGGCATCAAGAATCACGACGAATGGTGATTCGGTTTCAATATGGTTTGCAGTTTGGCATCAGCAAAACATTCTTAAAAAGGGAAGAAAATAATTTTGATAAAGAGTTATTAACTAGTAACCAGTAATCTATATTTAGAAAAACAAAGAGTAGGTAGAATTGAGCCGTGACATAACCCCTAGTGTTTGGAGAGTGTGTCATTTCATTGTCGTGTACTATGCACTCAGTTTTGTTCCTGCTTTGTTGTTGTTTTTTCTTTTTTTATATTTTTACGTGTAAGATGTGCGTATTTGTATCCTGTTAAGTTTGTTACGTGTTGCTTGTATTTAATACTGTATTTATTTAGTGAGCGCGCAGGTGGTACATTACGTGTTAGAGCTTTGTGTTTTGTTGTATCTGCAAAAAAAATATGTTTATCTGTGATGAAATAGAGGGGCAGATGCCTTTTTCAGGCGTATGAAACACTTTTGCATCCTTCTTCTTGCCTTTTAAGCAATAAATATCACTTCTATTACTACTACTAATTATTATTATTATTATTATTATTATTATTATTATTATTATTATTATTATTATTATTATTATTATTATTATTATTATTATTATTATTATTATTATTACTATTATTATTATTATTATTAATATTATTATTATTATTATTATTATTATTATTATTATTATTATTATTATTATTATTATTATTATTATTATTATTATTTTATATTATTATTATTATTAATATTATTATCATAGTAAAGCCCGACTTCACGGAAAAATGCATTCAGTTTTGGCCGCCGCGTGACGATTGACGTCCTGTCAGCTAACCTTTACCCGCTCGGTGTCGCCAAATAAGCGTGATCATGACCGAAGCTATCGCAGGCAATGGGGCAGTCCTGTGTCAGACGGACAATGCTGTCGCGACCTGTATGTCCACTGCTATCTACGCAAGTGCAGGCGGCAAGCGTAGTTTACAGTACAGATAAACTCATTTAACCACTGTCGGTGCAATCAAACATCGTTAGCGGTGCTGGCAATATCCAAGTATGAAAATATATACCTGAATAGGTGTCTTTCTGTGACACAACACTGATCGTCATCTAGGTTGCGTGCTTTCCTTTTGTTCTGGCCACGGGAACGGCAATTGCTGGTCGCGAGCGACGTGGGAGCTATCATGCCGCTCTTGGCGTGTAAGTAGCGAGCGCACAGTTTTCGAAAAGGAAGCTTAATAAATCTATAGGTGACTGTTCTCGCTGACAGAAAGACTTCGTAAATTGGCTCATTTGGCTAAAGATGTTGTGTACCAGAGCCTGGCTACATTACATTGGAAATCATCACCGTTATTCGTTAAACACGACAGTCTGACTTAAAGGGGTACTGACACAAACACTTTGGCCTCGCGTTTTTCTGCTTCAATGCGTTGCTGGAGGCCTGTAATCATGAGATGACACAACGTTTGCTGATACACGCGACAGATAACTAATTACATGCCCCTCATTATCAATCAGTGTCAGTTTCGCTTTGAGAGAGTTCCAAAAACTGGGTTCAACTGCCGCCACGTGCGTGTGCAGCTCTTGACCACGTCAGCACACAGAAATGTGACGCACTCTCCCACGGCCCACATTACGAATTACTTTCAATTAGACCTTTACCGGGGTACGTCACAGCATGACATCACCGGTGCACGTCACTCCCACTGGTGGCTGAGTGTGGTGTAACTACTCGGTGCTTGAGGCAAGTCTTTTTGCTGGTTTGTTTGAAAGCTTCATATTCATTTTACAGTGACAACATTAGCTTTGGTATGTGTCAGAGAACATCTAGGTGTGTGGTAAAGTGTGTGAAAAAATATTTGCCATGCTGGCTGACTCTTGATGTCGGAGGAGTGAACGCACGTGGCGGCCTGTGTGAGGAACAGCGGCATCGTCTTCGAAAATGTGCATTGTTGACTGTGGCGTGTAGAGTGCGTTGAAATCCATCGACAATAAGGAGTTTTAGAATAGCGAACCGCGAGCCCTTGCGGTGCGGTCGCTGCCACTGCGCATACGTCGTAACGCGAGCCATTCGCGTTCGCGACCCGCCCGCAGAAGATTTTATAGCGTGCGGTGATCACGGCCCGTAAGGCCCATGAAGTACTGTGTGTAGCTTCCGCGAATTAAGGTTTTCGGTCCGCATGCTGCCCGTGAACTCTGGTTTCGAGGGTATGGTGCCGCTGCTATCATGCGTTGCGGCTTGCAGGAGGGCAAACGCTATTCTAAAACTCGTATGGCACCAGCTATGGCTGCAATGCCCGCAGGGCCAGCAAACGTTATTCTAAAACTCTCTAATATTGGTTCACCTTTACGGATGGTGAAACTGGGAATATTGTGCGTCGTGTGTGCAGTGTGAATGACGTGATGCACCCTGTTTGCGAAAACAGTGGTATTCGTTGTGGGCCGGTTGAAGTAACCGTTTGTCAATGAAACTTCATGATCTCGCATATTTTAGTCAAAATAAAAATGCGTTTAGCGTGGTCATCTGCGAATGGGTACAATTCAGCGTATATGCATCGCGAAGAAAAATAAGAGTGCAAGATCTCTGGTTCATATATACGACTACGCATGAGCTATAAGCATGTTATAGCGTTGCTGAATCTTCAAATACGCTTCACCACGGCTCTGCCTCGTATTATCAGATACCTGAGACGTGGAAATGCAAACAGCGGAGATTTTCGTTTCTTATCTACTTTGGACTTTTTTACGGCTCGATCCTTATGAAGTGACAATGCACATTAGAAGTTTCTGTATCAAGCCTAAAGGAGCAATATAGATACGAAAACATGATATGGGTGTCAAATGCAGCAAGGTAACTGTTCCAGACAATATAATATAAAATTTAGTTGTCGAATTTTACGTCGTATAGGCTTTCGCTGGGTTATCAGGGAGTTTTCTAATAAGGTGCCCAAAAGTTTGGGGCCCCAAAGCCTTTTGCGTACCGACGCTTTGGGTCGAGCAGGAGCGATGCGCTTTCAAATAGGGTCTGCCGCTCTTTAGGAACTCCGCCTATTCTTAGTCACTGTAATCTTGGCCGAGAGCCGTCAGTTCAGTGGGAGCCATGAGGATTGCCTGACCCAAAACTTTTGGGGCAGGCTTTGGGGCTCCCGCTATATTCGAGAAATAAGAACGTTGTTTGGGTTTCGCGCATGCACAGTGGCCTTAACGCTGTTTCTTTGGGCCCCTACTCAAAAACTCCCTATTGAGGAACGCAGCAGCCGAATTTCGCTTTAACTTTCACGAGATGTGAACCTCAGCTTAACGCACGGCAAGAATTCTTATTATTTTTTTTTTCACTCATCTCCAACCTCAAATTTGCGCAATGAGTGAGAATCTTATCCGTGACTTCGGACAGCAGCTCAAAACTATGCTGCCGCCAATACTGTACCTCGTTTAAAACTGCATTACACATGCCACGATGAAAATTGATTATGTTTACATCCATGCTATGCAAATATTTCTCAAAGTGTCAGTCACCGTGTACATCCAACACGTTCGCTTTCGAAAAAGATCAAATTGTTTTATGGCTGCAATCTACGTGGGTTAAGCCCACTGCATGCTAGTCGCGTCTCTCAGTGCTCTAAATAAAGTTTCTCCATTCATCCATCTACGACGAGCAAACTTCCACACTATGAGCAGTGACCATTCCGCCACCCCCTTCTTTCAAAAACTCTGACTTGAGAGCAAAGCAATGTCGAGATTTCTGTTGAAGGAATGCAGATACGCAGCTCCTCTATGCAGAAAGATGCTGCTGGCGGAACTTTCTTGCCAACCAACCCCTGCTCCAAGAGATAGAATGGGGTGGCACGGCCAGCGTGCGCCATGACCACGCACTCGAAACCAGCCGCCGAGATGTATAGACCTCAGCAACTAACGCGGCAAAAGAAATGGCGGTAATGACGTCATCATAGTTTGTTTTGTTGACTGCAGCGTTGTCACGTGAGGGAAGCAGAGGGTCCCCTCGGGGTCCCCTCTGAGAGTGTCTATTGCGCTATGGAGTTGGTCGCTCACGCAAACCTCAAAATTATTTTAAAATACCTTCCAAGCAGTATTCGCTGTTGCTATTTTTCAGATGATATACGAATGTTCACGAGGATCGACCCCGC